ACCTCTTCTGCGCACGCTACTGCGCTGGGCGCGGCCGGCTCCTCGAGGGGAGCCCGGTTGGTGGGCGCCCGTGGGCACCTCGTGTCGTGGGTGGGTGTGGAGAAGTCTTGCCTGGCGCCCGCCCGTGAGCGCTCGTGGGCGCCTCGTGTGCCGTCTGCGCATACCTGTTGTCGTCCTCCCCCTCCTCCTCCTCCTCCTTCTCTCCTCCTCGTCCTCCTCCTCCTCCTCCAGCCGCCGCCACGGCACAGGCACCCCACCCCACGCGGCTGCTGCGCACGTCAGAGGCACCCCGTGCCGCGGCAGCGATGGTTGCTTGCCTGCGGGGCCTGCAGGCGCCATGATGGGGGTGCTGGGCGTCGTGCCCCACGGTCGCAGGCTCCTCGCCGTTTGCATCGCGGGCATCACCTTCGTGCGCTACATGACACATAACGACGACCAGCCCCCGCACTCGCATAGGACGTTGCGGGTGGTCTCCTACAACCCCATGCGCATGTGCGGCACCAGGGCCGAGGAAATCTCGACCGATTTTCGAACATGGCCGCAGTTTTTTTTTTTTTTTTTTTTTTTTTTGCAGGGGGTCGCCCGACGCAAGGGAGAGGACGATCACAGTTTGTTTCGTCACAAATCGCACTACGAAATGTTCTCCGGGTTCTCGAGAGCATCGAACAGGGCTTGCGGGACTAGCATCATGCTTCACAAGAAAGTTTTTCCACAGAGATTCTTGGTGACAATTTACGCGCCCCCCGCGGGGCTTGCTGGTCGGTGTGGTGCGGCCCGCCTGAGTCTGAGTCTCTAGTGGTTACGATGTATTTTCCTGACCATGAGGGCTAGAGAGGACGGCGATCCGAACGCCGACAGCTCGTCCAACGTCTAATTGCATGGTTTCGCCATCTCCTCTCTTCCGTGGGCGCACGCTGTACGCCGATTCTGGGAATTGACTTGAACGAGGGACTCGGAACATCTCGGGGTATGACTTGGGCGGGCTCCCCTATTCCAGCCGCCGTCGCGCAGGATGACGAGTATGAGGCCGTCGGTCCCTACAGCGCCGAAGTCGAGGGGGTGGCGGGGCGGCTCTGGCGCCAACTGTTGATTGACCACCATATGTGTGCATGCGATAGTTTTTACTCTTTGGGGCCCATTTTTTTTTGGAACCGCAGGTGTTACATCTCGGATCGATTTCACTCATACCCCACAGGCGTTGAAACCTCATTTCGTGAAGTGCCAAATTCTTCATCAGGCAGGACGACGGCTGCAGGTAATCAGCGCGCTGGGAGACCGAGATGGCCACCCGTTACGCATCGAGTTTCAATCCGAATTTCGGTCACAGTTTCAGCGGTTTCGGCATCGCTGGGAGTTGACTGGATCATGGCGTCACTTACCACATGGCGGGCATGTGCGGAGTATATCGAGCACATTCTTGCTTCTGTGCTCGGTATGTCTGATGACGACTGGATGAAATTATGTACGAAGGCAATTCCAGATGAGGTGTACAATTCCATTGCTTCGCTTATGATTAATTCTTGACGCTTCGCGTATCCCCACCAACCCATCCTACACCAGGCGCTCGAACGAAGAGCGCCGATGATCGGCAGCTGTTCTCCTCCCCCTCTTCCTCCTCCTCCGCCTTCTCCTCCTTCTCTTCTCCTCCTCCTCCCTCACCTCCTGCTCCTCCTCCTCCTCCTCCTCCTCCTCCTCCTCCTCCTCCCCCTCTTCCTCCTCATCTTCCTCTTCCCTGGTGGCGTCTTGGAAGTATCTTCGAACGTTTTGGTGGGCTCTTGGGCCTTGCGGGCGGGCGGGCGGCGCTCCGCCTGCCCGCGCGCAGGGCCCAAGAGGGGGTCCAAGACGTCTCTCTCGGAGCCATCTTGGAGTAGATCGATCAACGAAGGGGGGTTCCTAAATTTCAGCCCCCCCCATCAGGAGCCACGATCCTCGTGAGGGGTGTCGAATTTTAGCCCTCCCAGGGGTCGATCTTGGACGCTCTGACCGATCGCGGCCCCCCCTGCCCCTGTCGAGGTCAGTGGGGAGGGGGTAGGGGGAGGGGTAAACCCCTCCCCGAAGGGGAAGAGGGAGGGGTGGAAGAGGAAACTCGTTAAACCACCGACGCCCTAAAGGGCTGGTGGGATTCATCTAAAGACACGCTCGAGTGCAAGACGAAGAAGGAAACCGACCCCCGGAACTGGAGTACACGAGGTCTCAACTACTACGTGAAAGAAAGCCTCTTCGGGGACGTTTCATTGGCCAGCCGACTGCCCGCTGAGGGGGCCTTTGAACTGCTGTTGGCCAGGTTGATTTATAGAATCAGACACGATTCGCGCGCGCTCACCAGACAGAGAAATGCCGACTTCACTGCGGAGTTGAGTCAAGCATGGGGCGCTCAAGATCACTTCGCGGCTCAGAAACTGATCCGCCGACTCGCCAGGAAGGGGCGCGGCCCCAGGCACAGACGCTACTTAGTTGCGCGCTCCGAACAGGCCGAGGCGCATGACGTCGCTGGTTGCTTGTGTCGGCCCGCGACCAACGGCGGTCTCAGTGCTGCATCTTCTGATCTTTCCGCCGAATTACTGGAGCGCTTTGAACGAGGGCTTAACGGCGATTGGAATGTCAACTATGAGATTCGGTACAATGCCAAGCAAAACTGTAATCTGGATGATGCGACCGCAGACTTCTCCAGGATTCTTAAGAAGCTCAGACGCGCCCCCAAGAGGCGCGCGACCCCTGCCTGGCCGGTTCCTTCCGGGGCTTGGCTTTTACTGCCTGGCGGGGAGAAGTGGAACTACTTCCAGGGCGGTGGACTAGGATCGGGCCTGCGACCTTAGACGGGCACCGCCTTCATTGAACGCTTCGCGGACGTGCTGGCCTGTTTCCGCAGGGCGCAGATGGCGCCCTTGATCTTCGACGGCTCCCCTTGCGTGGGATTTGATAAGCGAAATGGTCTGCCTGGCGCCGAGGGTTCCCGCGGGGTTCATCTCTTTTGCCCGCTGGGAGAAGCATGGGGCTCTCATGTATGGGTTCGTGCTCGCTCTCATCGCGAGGTTTTGCCTTATGTTTGCCGCGGCTTTGTCAAGAGACGCAGACGGGAAGATGCCATCGCTACTCGCGCCTGCACCTCCGGGAGATGGAAGATTGCCCCCCCCCCCCCCCCCCCGCGCGCCGCCCCGCCACTCCACCCCGCGCGCGCGCACGCGTTGCCACCGACGAGGATGCGACGAATGCGTTCTCGATCGTGTCTCGCGACGTGGTTCTGGATGCTTTGCCGTTGCTTTATCTACCTGAGGACGTCCGTTTTCAGATTCAAAGAACTACCGTGAGCGCCGTCCAGATTGCGACGGGCGACGCCACGATCACGATGCGACCGACTTCTGGGGGCCTGATGGGCCATCCAAGCGCCGCGCGTGGCTTTCTCTTCTGCTGCCAGAAGGGCTTGGGGCCCGTCTGCGCGGCCAGGGGGCGCGCGCCTTCCCAGGCATTCGCAGCGGTGTTGGAGCCAGGCGAGCCGAGCACCGACGTGGGCATCTTGCTGTTCGCCGATGACATCGCGAAGCTGGTCATCGCAGGTCGGACTCCGCCACCCTTTTTTTTTTGGGGGGGGGGCTGCGACGCTCGCGCACTGCGGGCGCAGGCGAGGGCGAGCAGCGAGCTGCTCCAAGAGACGATGGGCGATATGCGAGTCTCGCTCAACCCAAAACAAAGGGTTTCGGTGGTGCCCTCGCTGATCCTGGCTCGGTTTCTCAGGGGCGCCCCCCGCGCAGCGGGGCCCTTGGGGCCCTGGGAAGGTACGGCGTTTCATGCGTATCTTGGGCGGCTGGATAACGGCGACGGGGCCCCTCGACGTCGAGAAACAGGAACGACTTTAAGCTGGTCGGACTGGTTTTCGGATGATATCAAATTTTCTTCGGCATCCCGCTGTCTTGAGTGTTAAGCGTATGTCTATCATTGCATGTGCACAAGCTCCCCTGCTATCTGGAATGGGAGCTCGCGTCCCCGATGAGTCTTTCTGCGAGGGTGCCGACAACGCACTTTTGAAAGCTATGAGACGAGGCATGGGGGCTCGGGGGTTGGATCGTCGCGACGATGGCGATTGTCGTCGCTGGACTTCGGCCCGCCTGGCTGCCCACTGGAGGATGCTGTCGCGCGCCTCCAAAATACGAGTACGCCGTCTCAAGTGGTACCAGGATTGGTGTCGGCATCCCGAGGCCCGCAGACAGGTGCGCGCGAGTTTCTTGGGATGTTTGGGTCCGCAACGCGTGATCTCGCCCTCTTGGAAGCTGACCTCGGAGGCGAACTCTTGGGCCGCCCAGGTGCTGGAGGACCTGAGACGCGCTCGCGAGGCTCCGGAGGCGTTCCAGGAACTCGCCCCCTCGGGATGCCCACTCCTTCGGCAGTTTTACGACGACGAGTTCGCAAGCTGGGCCCATCTCGATTTCACGGTCCTCGGGGCGCGCGCCTTTTTCCGCGCCGTTCCTTTTCCAGGATCCGTTCAGGAGGTTCAAGGTGGCGTGGGGGGGGGGGGGGGGGGGGGGGCGGCGACGCGAACGACTGCAGATGCCACCTGTCGACGATCGACGGCTCTGTCTGCGGGGCGGGCTCGCGCCCATGACGCCGCTGCTGCTCCGCGCGGGCAGGGCCCGCCACATTAGGGGCGAAGCGAGCCTGCTGACCGTGACTAGTCAATGCTTTCGTAGCTTGCAAGTCCTGGGGTCTCGAGAGACAGCGCAGCGACGCGCCGCGAGGTCTTATCGGAGGAACGTTTGTTCGGTGTGCAGAAGTACTTATCTCTCTTGCGACGTTGTTGTTCCATCCACGCTCAGTCGCCCGCGCCTTCGAGGCCCGGGATCTGCTGGGCGCGCAAGTGCGCATTCGATCTCATTGCAACCTTCCGCCGCCAGTGCTGTCTCGTTCTCATCTTTCGCCCTCGTCTGCCCGATGGAGGTGGGCCTGGGATCGCTGCTGGCCAGGGCAAATGGGCGCAAGGAGGGGGCCGCCGCCTCGGGAGAAGAGAGGCGCCAAACAAGAAGAAGAAGCTCCGGCAGTTGGCAGACGACGCCGGCGACGCCCTCGCCGAGGTCGGGGGAGCCCTTCGGGGCAAAGACATGTCAAGCGCTCTTTTATGCTCCTCAAGGTGGCGTGCCAGCGCGCGCAGATGCTACGGGACTTGGTGGCGCCCGAGTGGATGTCGCTCGTGCTGCCAGTCGACTGCTGCGTCGTCAACGCCGCGAAGGCGGCGGGCAAGTCCTGCGCCGAGGCGGCCGCAGTCCAGGAGCTCACAGCAAAGCTCGGCCCCCTCACCTATATATATATATACATATGTATTTATACATATATATATATATATGTATGTATTGGGCGCGCCGCGTTCAAGGCCACGGTGGATGAGAAGGAGGCCGAAGGGTTGCTGGAACCACACGGGGCAGTGATAGCGTTCTACACGAAGTTCCTCTTCGTAGTATCGCTGGAGGACCAGGCCCTGGTCGTTCGTCGCTCTCGCGTTCGGCGATGCTACAACGAAAAGTTTATGAGGCTCCAGTTCAGCATTGCGGAGGGCTTCCAGATCGAAGGATCAGGCCGGGCGAAGTTGCTCCATGAGCAGGCTCTACCCACCTGGGAGCTGAAGCTCGGATCGGCACCAGCGGGCCGCCTCGAGCAGATGGTTCAGAAGCTACTGAGTCGGACGAAAAAGGGGACTAGTGCAGGAAGCAAGCGACCACGTCGTGGGAACGGCGTATCGCATCACTTCGACTGCGTATTGCCGCCAAGGCACGCGTACATAACCTCTGCACGGATCGGAGTTCCTCGTTCACCGTTCGCCCCATATCTTCATCATGTTTTTTGGTGCAAGAATTTTCTGGTGATGCATTCTTTGTTTCGTGATATGGTGTCTGATACTCCAGTGGGCGATCGCTACATTCCATTCTCCTATATCGCAGTCGTTTGCGACATCAGCCGCTTCGCCCCCGAGCTTGGCCTTCCGAGCTGAAGTCTCTTTCTGTTCTTGCGAATCGTACTCTCGAGGTTTAATACTTCGAGCGGCAGGCGCCGCCCGCTGACCGCTACCTGCCCCTCCCCCTTCTCTTTCGCCCTCGCTCGTCGTTGGTAATTCGGGTCCTGATGGCACTGTGCGCGGGTTGAGGGTTTGCCGTGGGGGCCCCTCCTCCTGCTCTCGTTCCGTCGGCTCCCGCGTCACCAGCGCTGCTCTGCTTCCCCGTGGTGCGGTCCGAATTATGGGTCTTCGGGCGCTCCAGGGGCCTGCCTGGTGCACCCAGCACCGCAGGCTTCGGCCCCTGTGGGGCCCGAAGGGTTTTTCGCCCCCTGCCCGCATGTTTCCGTTCTTTGCGACCCGTCCCGAAACTTCGTCTGAATTCAGGGCTGCACGGTGCGCTTTACCCTGACCTCGTAGCTTTTGCCGAGAACCACGCCTTGTCAGATGTTCCCCCGAGCGCCTTGTGAAGGTGTCACTGCTCGAGGGGGTGAGGATCTTCAGACCCACAGCGCAAAGCCGAATCTAGCCTAGTCCTCCTCCTCCTCCTCCTCCTCCTCCTCTTCCTCCTCCTCCTCCTCTTCCTCCTCCTCCTCCTTTTCCTCCTCCTCCTCCTCCTTTCCTCCTCCTCCTCCTCCTCCTCCTCCTCCTCCTCCTCCTCCTCCTCCTCCTCCTCCTCCTCCCCTCCTCCCCCCCTCAGATCCGATTGCGCGAACAGGGGGAGGAGATCTACGCCGTGGCCCAGGGAGGGAAGGAAGGGACAGGACGTCGGATTCGACGCGAGCGCACCTGGCCTGCCCCTCCCCCCCCCCCCCTCCCGGCCCCCCCCCCCTCCTTTCCTCCCCGCCCCCCCCCTGGCGCAGGGCTGCCGCCCCTCGCGGCTCCCAGCCCGTGCCCGGCGGCGAGCGCCGCAGCGTTGTGGCCCTCGGGCCGCGCGGGCCCGGCCCTCGGGCCGCGCCCCGCGGCCACGGGGCGCCCCTTCCCGGGGTGCCCCGCGCGGAGCGTGTCCGTGCGATCCCGCGCATCCGCGGGATCGCTCTTCGGATTGGGATGTTCCAGCCTGCCTCGCGGTGCCGTTTTTTTGAGACATGCTCCGCGTGCGGATCACGTATTACAATTGCAGGGGATGTTAAAAACAACGCTGAGTTCTTGCATGAATTCATTCGCAGATCAATCATGTATTTAAAAATCGTATGTGTTCCAAAATCCTATGTGTGAAAAGCAGCCCTGTAGCCTTGATCACCAGAAATAATTTCGAGCACTCCAGAACGTGCCGAAGCTCGAGGGTTTTCACGTGTCGGGCCCTGGGAGGCATTCGTCCGACACTGTTTCGAGACTCCTTCGACACTCCGTCGACACCTTTCCGAGTGCTCGGAATTATTTCTGGGATATTGTCTTTAAGTACGGTGGGAGAAGCATAATCTTCGGAGACCAGACCGCGACGGCGCGGATGCGGATGCGCTCGTCAGAGGCCCGTTCGGGGGGACCTTCACGGGGCCCACCTGGCGGATGCGTTGGGCTCCAGTTTGACCCCAGTTCGATGCAGGTTCGGCTGAAGTTCGATTCGGTCAAGTCCGGCTCAGGTTCGACGCAGGTTCGGCTCAGGGTCGGCTCGAATCGACGGACGTTCGACACAGCGTCGGCGAACGAGTGGAGCGAATGTCTCCAGGAAGGTCCCCAGAATGAGCATCCAACGCTCGTGATGTGCCTCGTGCCTCATGGCGCTCCCCAGGGCATCGCCGTGGACCAGAAGCGGCAGCTGCTCCTCGTCGCCGACTCCGAACCGAAGAAGGTCTTCTCGTACGGGCTCATCGTCGCGGGCGACGGCACCCTGAAGGCGCCCTCCTTCGGCGGCGAGCGAAGGGGCGGGGGGGGAAGCGAGAAGGAGAAGGCCCTCTCAGAAGGCGGCGGGGCGTCTCGGAGCCCCTCGCGCCGCCTGAGAAGTGCTCTGCGTCTTCGGGGAAGGCCTGGGAAACTTCTCAGAGGGCCGGGGGCCTTCCGAGCCTTCCGAGCAGGCCCGCCCCTTCACACTCCCCCTCTGGGCTCGCCGCCGACCTCCCCGAGGTCCGCGGACGACACGTGTGCACCGCCGGGCCGCCTTGGCGCCTCTCGAGGCGTCGCCGATCCTCGACCCAGGAGTGGTACGGTGCACAATGTTCCGGCCCCCGGAGCTGAAAAAAGCTACGCACCGTACCGCGCTGGCGCGGGGCCTGAGCGGAGTCCGCGGGGGGGGCGACGCGAGCCAGAGCAGTCGGGGCAGAGGGGGTTACTCGGCTGCCGGGGACAAAGGGACAGCGAAGACGAGGGGGCCGCGGGGGGCTGAGCTGGGGACAGGGTGGACGAGGGGGAGGGAGGAGGGAGGAGGGAGGAGGGAGGAGGGAAGAGGGAGGAGGGAGTCCAGACATGGCACGGTGCATGGGCGCCGTTCTCGCACGGGGGGGAGGCCTGCCCAGCGCCTCCCGGGGCCTCGCGGGGGCCCGCTCCTGGCCCCGCTCCAGGTGGACGGCCGGCTCCCTGTCGGCCGTGAGGCCGCTCCAGAGTCGGGTCCCGGCGCGGGCCCGCTGAGGCTCGGTTCGGGGCTCCTTCTCCTCCTCCTCCTCCTCCTCCTCCTCCTCCTCCTCCTTTTTTTAAACGTTAAACCAACCTGAGCTCCAACACAGTTTCGTAGGCAGTATGGAGGTAACATTGTGCAGGCTCAGAATGATGAGAGATCCAAGTTTATTACAGGCCTTGAGAAAATCAAGGCCCACCAATCCCTTCAAGAAGAAGGGCTCAGCGAAGAAGAGGTTTTTATGCGCACCACTGGCAACCACACGGCAGACCTAGGTGCGAAAGCTGCAGCGGCTTTGCACCCAGAAGCAGACCCCGAGCTTCACGAGAGAATTAACGAGCACATCAGTTTTGTGAATTCGTTTTGCATCCTCGCCATGAAGTTACTCGGACACTTTCCTGCTTTAAAGGAGTATGGGGAGGTCAAGTACACTCCCAAGCCAGCAGCTGGCCGTAAGACCAAAGAGCTCTGTCAGTTCCAATGGATCGCTCGGGGCTGGAGGTGTACGGTTTGCTGCAAGCTGGGACGTAACCCTCGTGCTGACACCGCGCCGGCGCGAGTATGCAGTGGAGTGCCGAGAACGCTTGATCTCGACAAAGTTTTACAGAATGAGCACAGTGTTGTCGCTCTCGCGTGCTCAGACTCGAGCACGCTATTTGTATGTGTTCATCGTGCAGCCTTTGTCTCGATCGGCTCGCCTCTCAAAAGCAACTTGTATAACCAGCGCTGTTTGAGGAGGCTTGAGCCGAGGCAGAAGACTAAGTGGAATCACATTCTTAAAGGCCACCATCCTGACCCTAGGAAGCCCCCCGTGCGTGTGAGCTCAGAGGACCTCCTGAGAGAAGGCGGCGAGCCAGTCCCTATTCCTCGCGCGAGCGGCGCAGCGTCCGATTACCCCTCGCTTGGCGAAGAACGCCGGATCAATGGCATCGCGGCAGCTCTCGTTCGGTCGGCTACCCAGCACCCAGCGATTCAGCCCTCGCGCGCTCAGGTTCCTAAGGACGCGGAAGCCGAGCAGGTCAAGCCTGTACCAGCGGCCCCGTCTCCTGCACCCTCAGTTTTTGCTGCCCCTTTCGTGGGCCTCGAAGCCCCTCAGGCTCTTGGCGGAGCCCCAGCGGCAGAGACTCCCCCTTCGGAGCCTGATGCCGCGGAGCCTTCTGATAGCTGCGTTGAGCGTGTCGCCCTCCGCATCGTGCGAGAACAGCTCGCTGATGAGGATGATAGTGCGCCACTCTGCCCAGCACCGACGCCACCGACCAGCACTTTCAACGCGAAGGTGCGGAGGTTACTAAGAGCTGCTGGAGGCAGCCCCAGTGGGAGTGCGGGGCCTGAGCGCGGGGTGGAGGCTGGGTCGGGATCGGACTAATGACATTCAGCGAACAACTCAACTGTAAAGTTTTTCCGCTGCCCAGCGGGGGGGGGGGGAAATTCGTTACTTTTCCCCCTCCCCAGCAGACCGAAATTCGTGATAGTTTCGTTGCGTCTTAGGGTTGTGTGTTAACTCGCTGAAGAAATCATGTCAATCTTATGTTGTTCCATGTTGCTGGCAATCGCTTCACCAGCAAGATGTTGCAAGACCTTTTCTGTTAAACTGCACCTCCGTTATCCCACATGGTGGGACAAAGCATCGATAACGGATGGGCCGGCACGCCCAAACATAGTGCATTTGTTGTGCACGATCGGGCTCGGACATGGCTAAGTTCCACAGCAGGTGTCT